CTGTTCAGGTCCTTTGCCCACCTCCTCGGTGGGCAATTAGTTTTTTTCTTTTTGGAAGCTAGCAGAGTATTGTAGATTTTAGTAATCAAATCTGATGTGTCATTGTTCAAGATGTTTTCCCAGTCTGTGGATTCTCTTATTCCTCTCTTGGTGAATTATTTCAATGTACACAGTTGTTTTATCTTCAGTATATCCCACTTGTCAATTTGTGCCTCATCTGTATTTGTGTCCTTCCCTATTTCTGATAGCCTATGTATTCCCTGTGCCAAAGTTTTCAGGTTTGTCCCAATTCCCTCACTGATGGCCCTAATAGTTTGGGTTTTTACCTCTAGGTCTGTGATCCAGCCTGAGTTTATTCTTGTGCATAAGGGTCTTGCTTCAGTTTTCTGCAGGTAGATATCCATTTTTTCCAGCACCGCTTGTTGAAGAGGGCATCCACTTCCCTTTGAAATTTTGGGGCCCTTATCAAAGATCAGTTGTCTGTATGCTGATGTAGGAGCTTCCCCATCCACGCAAGCGGGATTTCCCCTGGGAGAAGGTGGGTGAGATTTCCTTTGGAGGAAGGTGGATGGGATATAGATGCTGCATAGGAGCTCCCCCATCCACACCAGTGGGACTTGCCCTGGAAGAAAGTGTGCAGGATTTCCCCCAGAGGAAGGTGGGCGGGCTTTCCCCCAGATTCCTGTTATGCTGAAGAGGGTGGAGTTCCCCACAGCTGGGTGGAAGGCATGTACAAATGCCCTAGGCTAAGGGAAGTGGCCTGGAGGTCAGCAGTGGCATATTAGAGAACAGGGAAGAGAAAAAGAAAAACAAAGCCCACTGAGACTGTGGGGGGAAAGAGAGAAGAAACGGTAACAAAAGTAACAGTATAGCTGAGACTCGATCCCTGACTGTAGGGCTCGAGGGGTTTAAGCCAGCGGCAAGCTATGGCAGTGTTGAGATAAAGCCCTTGGACCAGCTCCAAAGGATCCAGGCTCTGGCCGAGACATTGGTGGGGCTAAGGCTAAACCCTAGCCAGCCTTCACAGTGGTAAGCCAAAAGCCCCTAGCTTCTCAAAATCGAGTGGATCTGTGCCTACTTATGTTTCTTATGCTCTTCTTGTGAGCTGGCAGTGTGAAATTTCCCTCTGAGTGACTCTTCTGCGCTTATTTCTGTAGAGTCCCTCTAGTATGTGTTACTCAGTTGCCATCTTACCGGAAATCCTATCTATTCATTTATAAGCACAGTCAGTTGATCTCTGCCTCTCTCTCTCTCTCTCTCTCTCTCTCTCTCTCTCTCTCTCTTTCTCTGTCTCTCTCTTACTCTCACTGCCACCAAGTCAATTCTGACTCAGAGACCATATAGCACCAGGTAGAACGGTCCCTGTGGTTTTCTAAAACTGTAACTCTTAGGGAGTAGAAAGCCCCATCTTCTCAAGAGAAATGGCTGATGGTATCAAATTGCTGACCTTGAGTTAGCAGTCCAATGTGTAAGCACTACTCTAATTCGCCATAGGGTGATTAAATTTTATTCACCAATATTAAGGCCAAAGATGAATAAATTAAAGCTTATTTATCACCTTACTCAGTCTAAAACTGATCAAACATGCTATCAAGATGCATTGATAATTTCTGGTGATTGAAATGTGAAAGTTGAAAATGAAGAAGAATTAGTGGCTGTAAAATATACTCTTGGTGATAGAAACAATGCTAGAGATATCATGATAGAATTTAGCAAGACAAATGACTTATTCATTGCCACTGGGTCTCACTGAGTAGAAAACAAAGGAATCAAATTAACTATGTCTATGGAAAGAGACACTGGAGAAGCTGATTATCATGAGGTAGAACAAAGCCAAAGACTAAATGTGAAACAGACTGTGAAGTGATCCTATGCAAAGTTGAAGCTAAACAAAATCAAGTGCTCAAAACCAATGTACAACATTGAGTATATACACCATCTGAATTTCGAAACCATCTCAAAAATAGATTTTACATATTGGACACAAATGAACAAAGACAAAGCTGAATTGTGTGAAGACATTTGAACTCCATACATGAAGAAAGTAAAGGTTCATTAACTATATGGGGGGCAAGGGGGAGACCAAAATTATGTCAAAAGAGACTCTGAAATCTGCTCTCAGAATACAGAGTCACTAAAGTGAACAAAATCCTGATCAACTGATTTTGGATTCATTTATCCAAAAGCCAGAAGCTTGTCATTTTCCTTGTTTCATCAGCCCCAGAACTGAAGTCATGTCCCTCCTTGATTCATGCCTTTTATCTATAGAGAAAGAGAGAAGTAAACAGATGGTGACCTCACAATCATCAAGAGAGAACTGAGGGTAAAGTGTGGTCTTTGGATGTAAAACTCCTGGTCTGAGAATCTTCTACTCAAGAGATAGAATTGTAACATCGAAGACCAAGAGAGCAAGAAGTAATGGAAAGAACACGAAGGCAACAAAAATAGGAGAGTAGCAGAAGGACAGGAGGAGACAGCACAGTGAATTTCTTGCTCTTCTGTCAAGAAGCTTGCTGACAGAGGGTTGCTTCTATGCACTTGGTAGAGCTAAGTTTACTAAGTGATGCAACTACAGCTAAGTACCTTAAGGGTAAAGCTAGCTGAGTAGACAGGATGCACTTGCATATTTATCCACACAGAAAAAAACGTTTTGCAACACAAGCAGAGGATGGCTGAGCAGTTAGAGGCTATTGAAAGAGGCATGCCTACAGCCAGCTATTCTGATCAAGGAACTGTATCTTAAGTTATCTCAGATCCTTAATTGTAACATGTTACTTCATCTCACGTACTTTAGACATGTTATCAGAGGGGTACTCGTCCCTGGACAAGGACATTATGCCTGGTAAAGTAGAGGGTCAGCAAAACAGGAAGACCTAAATAAGATGGATTGTGAAAGGCTCAAACATAGCAGCCATGGAGAGGATGGCCAAGGACTGAACAGTGTTTTTTGTTCAGTTGTCCACAGGGTTTCTATGAGGCAGAACCAATACAATGGCACCTGACAACAGCAACAATTTTCCTGGTAAGCTGAATAATTTTAAGTATTGTCTATAAGTTCTTTGTGGCCATTGCAATAAATTATCAAACCCAGTGTCAACGTAGATTATATGCTAGATGGGCCAGTCGGTGTCAGAATTAGTTATACTAAAAATGGAGAGAAGTAGAAATAAATGTATTTGTACAAATATGCTTGATACAATTGATGTTTGGATTGTTCTAAGAGCTGTAAGACCCCTCAATAAAATGATCTTTGAAAAAAATGGGAGAAGAAGAATATCTGGCCTCTGCCCATGGAAAAGAGTAAGCCTTGGAGCTTATTCTGTAATCTCTCTGAGGTTAAAGGATATCAGACAATGCCTCTGCCAAGCTATTTTTTTTTTACAACATTCTATAGAATAACCTGTCAGCTACTCAAAAGATGAGACTATCTGCTCACCTGTCAAGATTTGGTTTCAGGTTCCAAAAAGGAGAGTTCTACTCTGCCCTACAGGGTCACTATGAGTCCGAATTGACTCTGTCGCAATGGCCTTGGTTTGGAATTGGATAACTGACCAGTACTTCACAAGACTGTGAAGTCCATGAAAAGAGAAGACTAAGAAACAGTCCCAGCAGAGGTGACATGACTGTAATCATGAGCAGTATGGATTGGATCCAGGAACAGAAAGAGACTGCAACTGGAAAAACTGTGAAATCTCAGTAAGTGTGAAGTTAATAGCAATGTACCAAACTCCATTTCTTAATGTTTACCATTATAGCATAATCAAATAGGCATTACCTATATCAGGAGGTATCAATTTGCATTAATACAAAAGCCTATATATGTGTCATTCATACAAAGGTAAGATGTAAAAATTAGAGAAAGTGGAAGGAGGTGTTCCTGAGGACTCTCCTTGCAACTCTTCTGTAAATCTAAAATTATTCAAAAATAAAAAGTTTATGAAAAATATATTAAATAGCTTTAAGAAATTCACAGCCATTGGAATTCTTTCCTGTGAATAATATAAAATAATTTATCAGAAAAATTGAACCCACAGTTGCCATACTAGAATGAGAATTTAAACAGGAAAGTAAGTGAATCCCGCTAAGCTAAATAAAGGCCGTCTATCCATGACTACTCTTGCCAAAGATGTTTTTGGAAATCCTCCACCTGCAGTAATAATAAACTCCGCTAACATTAACCTGAGTAACAAGGAAGAAAGGAATTATTAAAACTTCTTGCTGATAATCATTTAACCTGAGCAGGACTTGCTGCACTGGCTTTTGTGTTATTGGGGACATATTTAAATTTCTATGTTTTTAATATCATAGGGTTTTGACTGGCCTCAATAACACAAAAAGAAAAATATTCTGAACTAGTAAAGCTTTTTGTGTCACAAAGCAACGTATTTATTCTAAAACTAAAATGTTAAAATAGGACTTTATGGCAAAATTTCAATGTCTTCTTAAAATAGTAAGTAAAGTTTCAAGTACGGCAAAATTCATTCTACACATTTTTCTTGTGTGATTTTACCGTGAGACCTTCTGGAGTTAGCGAAGTTTTTATTTTTCCTCCATGGCTACTGCAATCATCATCTCAAATGGCCATTTTCTTCTTAATTCTTTTGCTAATTAATCAGCACATTAAATAAAACACATGGTTATCTATGCATTTAAGTTTTCTCTGCTGGAAATTTTATGTTCCCAGAATGATACCCACTAAATATTTCTATGACTTGCACACAAATACACTCTGTCTTAGGCGTTATACAGGTGTGAGTTCCTCTGACCCAGGTGTTGCAATTGCCTTGCCATCGAGCCCTAAAGATAAAAGGGTTTGAGGGAGCTCTATGGTGGGTGTGATTGCACACCTCGGGCTCTGTGGATTGGAAGCACACGTCTGCATGTACTGAAATGGCACAATAATCCATAATTAAACAAGCCAAGGAAAGAAACAGAAGTAGTTAGGTATGATTTGGTACAGGAAAACCATGACAAGGTGCCTTTTAAAGTTTTATTAGCCTAAAGCAAGAGAATACTGAGTGTAACGGGGTATGCATACTTAAGTGACTCCACAGCTCAGACTGCAAAGAGCTATTAGTGCTTTCTGATTATCAAAAAGCACCACTATAAGCAAGACAACAGCCTTACAAAGACCCACCACATGCTCCTATTGCACTGGTTATCGTTCCATGTGCAGATAGCAATGAACTGTCACCTTTCTAGACATGTTTCTAGTGTCTGCCAATGAGTCGTATCTCATTATAGGTTGCTTAGAAAGGATTCGATTTCCCACTTAAATGACATAAAATAGTAGTAAACAAATACAGATTAAAAGCCTAATTATCTACCCACATGTGACTTCACTTAAATTATGGCTATTCATTTGAAACAAACACACAGCATTCCAGGTATATGCACATGTGTATTTTGTTCTCCTTCTCCGGGTATGCACTGCTTCTATTCAGCGGGGGATGAGCTGGATGCAGGGATGAGCTTTGGTTTGGCTTGCTGGGGTAGTGACGCATCTGGTATCTTCTCACCGTGTTTGTACACACTGATGGTGATGTCAATTTTTTCACCTCCATATTTGTTCTTGACATTGATGCTGTACTTTCCTGAGTCCTCGGAAGTCACACCTGTGATGGTCATGCTGGCATATTTAGACTGCTCCATCTTGACTGCAAAGTGATCACTGAGTTCAATATCCTTGTCGTTCTTGAACCAAACCACTTCAGGGTCAGGGTTCCCAAACACCGTACAGGTTAGATTCAAAGTCTGCAAAAGGTAAAAGTGACAGAGAAGCAAGAATTAGAAAAAGACAAGTATATTACCTATGTGGATCCCATTATCTTTCAGCCTGGCCATTACATTAATAGGTTCTTCACGTCATTTATTAAGTGCACAAGCACATTATATAAACTAAGCACCATATTAGACACAATGTATCCATAGGATAACAGGATGCAAATAAGTTCACAATTTCATAAGGGAGCTGATAAGGAAAAATCAATGATAAGTTATTCGGTTTACTCTCATTTTGAATTCATGGATGGCCCTAGCTCATTAAAGAATTTAAAGGTAATTAAGGACTACTTTTACAGCAATATATATTTAGCCTGTTTCTAAATGTTCATCTTAGACTTATGGGTCTGTTTTATCAGTCTCAAATGAAGTTTCAGTAAAAATATTGCCTCATAACTAGTAAATTCAAGGTAGCAAATGCATCCTTGACACTGAGTTAAAACGTGTTTTCAGCCTAAAATAAAGTAAAATGAGTTCTATATTCTCAATTACACCTTTATTATGAGATACATGATTATTCCATCTCAGAGCTATCGAGACTTCTTTAACTGCTTAAGAAAAGGTCTATAAATTTTGTACTTTTGGCCTCATTAAAACTCTCTCAAGTAGCTATGTCCTAGTGACCTTGAGGTAGACCACTGGAGCAACCGAGAAGTACCAATAAGATATCGGTACTTTCACTGACAAGCTGCCAAATTAAAACTCCAATAAGTAGCTTCATTTATGTATTCCAGAATAACCTGGAAAATTGGAGCAGGAATTTTCTTTCATTTCCTAAACGTGATACTGTTTTACACTTGCAGCCGTATGCCTTACATTTTCATACAAGAACAGTAGCACGCGTGGGGGG